TTAAAACTGGTGGCAGTTCGTTGCTCTGCTGAGGTGAAGTTGGGCCTGCTTAAGACAAAGGTGAGAGGTACATGGAAAAATAAATCATCCAGGTCCGGAGGAAACCGGCTCAATCAGGGTAACACTTATTTGTTCAAAAATAGAGGATGTTAAATAACGCTGGACTTGCGGTCTATCCCTGGGGACGCAACCACGCGGAATGGCTGGCTGGACGATGATGCGACGGCCACGGAAGAAATGGCAGGCTTCAAGAACTCCACCCTCTATAGTCTTTGTGTCAGTGAAGGTGACGAACCCAAAGCATCGAGACGCACCCGTAACCCTATCAGTTATTACCGTAGCCTCCTGGACTTTGCCAAAGTTGGAGAAGTAAGCCTTGAGATCAGCTTCGGTTGTGTCAGGTTCAAACCGACGGACAAATATGGTTTGCTTGCTGGTGTAACTGTTGATGTCACGTTCAGCAGGTCTGTGGGTAGGTATGGGGTTGAATGGAGCAGTTTAAACGCACTGCACACAATTCAGTTGACGGAATTTCAAAGTGGGTCATAAGTTTGGAGTGGACAATATTGTTTCCGAAATATGTACAGCAGTGTCGTCTTCGTACAACAAAAAAACACCATGAACCACTGTCCCTTTTAAATAAATTTGTCGCATGCAATTTAGAAAACATTTGTTTTGCAGCAGGTAGAGGTAAACTAATATTACTAGCTTTAAAGTCGGCTCATCGACTGCGCTAATGCCAAATAAATGTTTTTTTTAAGAAATGGTTGCACATTAAACAAAACGGTCACGGTAATCGCATAGCTATACAGTAGAAAGCACACACGTGGAATTTACAATGGCAATCACATTTGGTCATGCATAAATATAAAGGGTATCTATGATAGTTGAAATGCCATGGTTTGTGAATTAAAGTCCCCGTAATATTTTCGGAATATTCAAAAAGTGAAAGTGACACAAGAATCTATTAAGTATTGTTTGCACCAAAATTTCCTTCTGGGTCGTTCTTTGCAAAACCACTAGTAACAAAGTACATGTTAAGCATAGTATCCTCGTTAAAAGCACTTTTAGGCATTTATGTTTGCGTAACGCATACGGGCAGCAATATAACACTCAGCGATCCTAAGTGGTGAATAGGACCCGAACGGTCAAGTCAAATTTAAGAGGAAAGATAGGGGAAGAGAGAAAGGGACACCGCTAGAATCTTTGTATTCTGTATAGAATCTCGTGAATGGTAAGTGTTAGGATATTAGCCACACCAACTGCTAGCAGCACTTGGCGGCTTTCCTGAGGCGTCGAGCCTAGCCAAGTGTCTTTGTTTGTTAGCTCTGACTGTATACAGGCGACGACTGTCCACGCGAGATGACCTTAACCTCTGGAAAGGACACAGATGCACGTGCTTGCTGGCGCGCGCCACTGGTCGCAGTTATCCCAATGCGCCAATCAGGCTACAGGCGA